AGGTATTTTCGAACTGTCAACAAGCACAAATTAGACAATAAGATATTTTGAAACACCGTTCTTGCTGGTGTAATATGTCAGTTTTTGTCCTGTGGTGAAATTTACCAATCAGTGAAGGTCTAGGTTTCTGGTGTCCGCCGAAAACAACTCGGCAAACACATGGTGAATTAAAACTTTGCCGAGAAAATAACGCAAGGCGAAAACGTCGTCTTACAAAACATCTTGGGAAAAAAGAAAGCAAGGAGAAAGCATTGCAATTCTAAAACATAGTGGTACAAAATATCGTCATCGAAAATAAAGCCGTTCAATAACATCGCAGTTTTAAAGCATCAGTCGACATTTCAAACATAGTCGAAAATACCATGGTAGAAAATAAAGCACCTACAAATCATTGCTTGATGATAACGTCGTTAATATGAGTTTTTCAGACTTTAAAAATTGTAAATGCATATTAGCATAATGATTTGCAAACGCAAAGAAGAATAAGGAATATTTTTACATTTATGTTTCATATTTTTGAGTTAACTAATAATTTTTGATGAAAAAATAAAAAGGAAGTTTAAGCAGAATTTGAAAATGAGTAGAAATTTTGCAATTTCTCATGAAAATATTAGAAAAGATTAGGAAAAGGAAGATGAGTAACTGTTTATGGTTACCTCTATTATAATTGTTTAATTAACTATCAAATTTTAAAATTCTGTTAACTGCTATAATTAGCATTCATTAAACCCATTTTCAGTTTTTGAATGCATAAGTTTCTTTCTTAATTTTTCAGCAAAATTGTATTAGTTAATTCAAAAATATAAAAGTAAATGTATTCCTTATTCTTCCTTGCTATCACAAATCATTTAATATATATTTACAATTTTAAAGTCGGAAAAACTCATGTTTGCGATACTATCGTCATGCGATGTTTTGTAGATGCTTAATTTTTTACCACGATAGTTTTTACGAGGATATTTTAAAACTGGAATGTCTTTGAACTGCTTTATATACCGCAAAGCTTTGTACTATGATGTTTTAGAACTGAGAGTTTTTCTTTCTTGCTGTCTTTTCTCCCACGGTCCCACGTCCTAAGACGACGTTTTCGTCTTGCGTTATTTCTCCGCAACGTTTTTTCCCGCGATGTTTTCACCTGTAATCTGGTTTATACGTGCAACAGAACGTATTTTAGCTATTAGATTTCATGTTCAAGAAGATTCATATAACTGATTGAATGAAAAATGACAGATGTCCAACCTGCAACTTTCTCTAAAGGGGGGAAAAAGAGTAATAATAAATAAATAAATAAATAAATAAATAAAAATGTTGCGCTTTTTTTTAGTCCAAAGGGACTTGAGTCCCGAAGGACTATTACTTTCGTTTTGGCATTTTGCGTCGGACGGATAAATGTCGGTTCACTTTTCAAACTGTTGCCATAAAATGTTAGAGTCCTGCATTATATTTGAAGAAATTAAATAATGAAAATCTGCGTAAATGTATGTATATTTCTCACATTGTCATAAAATAACGGTACATAGAGTCATCGAATTTTGAATAACGTAATCCTCCAACGAATATGAGCATGTGGAAGACCAAATTTGAAATTTGAAATTTGTTTTATGATCGATTTCCTATTTTTTTTTTTTAAAACTTTGACGAATTTTTGATTAACAAACTCAAGGATTTCAAAGCGAGCAATGGCAAACGTTGTGCAGAAAAAAAAACATTTTTATCTCCAGCGCGTGAGTCTCTGTATCGGAAATTCTAAAGATATGCTCGTTTTAAAACTATTTTGCGATATTGCTGTTGCACTGGATCTTATGGTTTAAGTGCGAGGAACATGATATTTAATAAAGAAAGGTAACACACAAAATGTTAAAAAACGCCCCTTTGGACGTAATTTAAAATCTGAAACATTTCAGAATTTTTTTTTTTTTTTTTTTTTTTTTTTTTTTTTTTTTTTTTTTTTTTTTTAGTCCAAAGGGATTTGAATCCCGAAGGACTATTGTTTCGTTTTGGCATTTTGCGTCGGACTCATAAACGTCGGTTCACTTTTCAAACTGTTGCCACAAAATGTTAGAGTCCTGCATTATATTTGAAGAAATTAAATAATGAAAAATCTGCATAAATGATTGTCTATTTCTCGCATTGTGATAAAACAATGGTACATAGAGCCATCGAATTTTGAATGACGAAATCCTACTGCGAATATGGGCATCTGAAATCCCAAATTTGAAATTTGTTTTATTATAGATTTTATATTTTGTAAAACTTTAACGAATTTTTGATTTACAAACTCAATGCTTTAAAAGCGAGAAATGGCAACGTTATATAGAAAAAAAAATACTTTTATCTCCAGCTCGCGAGACTGTGTATATCGGAAATTGTAAAGATATGCTTAATTTAACATTATTTTGCGATATTGCTCTTGAACTGAATTTTATGGTTTAAGTGCAAAGAACATGATATTTAATAAATAAAGGTAACACTCAGAACGTTAAAAAAACGCCCCTTTGGACGTAATTTAAAATCTGAAAAATTTCAGTTTTTTTTTTTTTTTTTTTTTTTTAAAGCTTTCTGCCTCCCCCACTTTTTAGATTGTTGCAAATATTTGCGTGTCGTAGATGGTAACACATGTGATAAAGCCCTTAGAAATCCATAGTATGTATTATCAGAGCCTGATTGCTGCCTAGACTTAGTCCAGGTCTAAGTTTTAGGGGGGTCCCAAAATTGTCGTATAAATTTCTCATAACTTTGTTTTCTCTTGATGAAAACTTGGGAAATAGTCATTAGAGGCTTCTAAAAGAATGTTGTGTCTTGGATCGCTTTTGTCTTTATGGAGACTTTATCATCAGTGTACATTGTATTAAGAATGAAGTTCAATTAACGTTTTCTTGAATTTGCAGTATTAGCTATATCATATATATCGGCGTGTGCAAAATGTAATTAAATCCAAATTCTCAGAAAAATAAGAGTAGCAAAACGAAATGTTTTATTGGAATCCTAAAAAGATAACCGAAAGAGGAAAAAGCATTACTCATAGCTGAGAACATCCGTGAAAAGCGAAATCTTTCAGTGGAGAATTAATACAAGGAAACTGGAAAGGAAAGATCTAGTCAAAAGGCACATAATAGGGGAAATAAGTTTAAATAAAAGAGAAAGAACTGAAATTTGAACTGCTTAAATTAAGGAACAGAAAAATTAATGCGTCAATTCTTTTCTGCAAATACATTTAGTCTTCCTGTACCATTGCTACTATTCCACGTAATAATTTAGCACTTTTTCGTAACGTAAAAACCCGTAAAGTTATGAATAAATGTGTCTTCATTTCTTCGTTACTCACATTTATAGTTAGTTTCAAGGTCATATTCTGACTATGTCAAGTAGGTAAAGTTTTTGCTTTACTGAAAAGAATTTTAGTCTTTTCTTATATGTACGTGATTTTTGTGATTTCTTTATATGTATGTATGCATGCACATATATTGTATGTATATAATTCTGCTTTGTATTTATTCTACAAAACAGTAAATGACAACGTAAGAATGCCAGTAAAAATCAGTTCTTCTCTGTGCCGTTGTAAATGATCTTTTTAGGATAGTTGAAATGAAAATCTTGCTGCTAAATGCTATTACCTTGCTACGTGGTTGAAACAGTGAATTGTTTTCACTAATAAACTGAATAATGAATAACAATGATAAACTAATTAACTGAATTTTTTAATTCTTGCTAATGCAGTGTTTTAATTAATATATGACAATTGTTTTCTTTTTTGTGCTATATTCTGTTATTTTGGAACAGTCAGCCACCAAGGTCACTCTCCACTTTTTGCTTGCCTCATAACGATGGTAATTACTGCAGCAGAAAATGATTGAGATCCTTTAATTAAAAGGGTAAATTAGCCTTTCTTTGGTCTTAATCTTTACAGCCTTAGAAGTAAGCGATTAGTCGCTACACACTTCTCAAGTATTCTAGTTGCCAAAGACAACCAGTTTAGCTAGAATCTTATAAGACTATACTCATATGGAAAGATAAACTTGCCAATGTAAAACTTAAAATTTTGCAATAGCAACCTTATTTTGACGTAGATTTTAAATAAAATTCTATAGAAATTTCAAGGGAGATCAAACACAGTTCTGTCTGCTGGTTTTGCTAGGTAAGACCGTGATTGTGCATACTGATATTATGTTTTTGCTGCTAATAAATGATAATTTTTTTTTTTTTCTTTTTCCTTTTGCTTGTTGAGATCGTGATTTTCCTAGTTACAACAAACTTTTTTGTGTTGTTTGAAATGGTGATTTTGCTGATAAACAAAACTTTTAACTTTAATTGAACCAGTGATTTTGCTGCATAGTGATCCTTCCTTTTTATACTACTTGAAACCATAATTTAGTTAGTGAATGTTACATTTTTATAACAGTTGAGACGAATATTTTGATAATTAAAGACGTTTATGCTAATTGAGACGGTAATTTTGCTACAAGATTGTACGGTTCACATTAATTGAGTAATTTTGCTAATAATTGCCGATTTTTTTGTACGCTAATGTTTTTGCTAGTAAATAATACAAGTTATATTTTTTATACTAGTAAGACAAGTGATCTGATAATAAATAGCGCTTTATTTTTGTTAGTAAATAGCGTCTGTTTTTTATTCTAATTGAGACTTAATTTCGGTAGTAAACTGTCATTTTTAGGCCTTTGAAAAGGCGATTTTATTCCTGCAATTCAAGTTAGTAGTGTATATACTACTTAACTGTCCTTAATGTGCTATGCACACAACTGGGAAAACCATTTAAATCCAAGTGATATAGCCAATTTAATTTTAGTTTTATTGAATTTAAATTAGAAATTTAGTATCTGGAATTTCTGAATTAACAAAATATGTCTTAAATATTTTGTTAATTCAGAAATTCCAAAATTTTATACAAAACTCCTTAACTTTTTTAATATATTTATTAATACAGTTGAAAATAAATATCCATTTATCTTTATTTAAAAATTAAGGCATGATTATGCAATTGTATATTTTCTATTGTCATGTGATCAATGTGGAATTTTGGCATCGCTCTTGGAAACTGAAAATAAAAGGCTTATAACGAATTATTATTAACGAAAATAACGCTTATAACGAATTATTATTAATTGTTTAACGAAATTCAGTACTATTAACAAGTTTTATGGGTACTTTTTCAAACCCCATTTGGTTTCACTATTCTTTAAGTATTATAAAAAAAGCTGCTGTTAATATTTTTAAACGCTAATAATGAATTTAAAAAAAAAAAAAAAAAAAAAAAAAAAAAACACGCGTGCTGAAGTTTAGCATTATAGTGGCAATAGCAGCTGTATCGTTTGGTTTTGTTTCAAAACAAAAGAATATTTGAATGAAAATGGCTGAGCTATTATACCTGTTTTATTTATAATGTTTTTTGTAACTGTCGTATACTTATTAAGTTTCTAAATATATACATTTAAATTCAAAACTGAATAAAATATTTGAATTTTCAAGTTTATTCAGAACTACTATTCGGATAATAGGCGATAAAGCCAAAGGATGAAAGTGAGTTTTCTTCTTAAATGTCTTGAAGATTAAAAATTTTGCTTTCAATATATTAGTAGATTAAAAAATTTTATTTAGAAACATTTATACATATTGTTAGACACAGCAGCAGAAAAATGAATACGTAGCGTATTCGGAAACTAAGTACCGTTTCATTCTAGCGCCGTCTTAGCGCTGTGGTAGGCGTCCCGCGTATGCGCACTAGTCTTTCTTGTTCACTGACTTTCAATTGTCGCCATTTTGGTTGCTCTATGTTGTGTTTTCAGTTTGCTGTGCACATTCAAAAGTGTTTAAGACAATTAGTTCTCCCGCTGACTGTGAGATTCGTGCCGTGATTAAATTTTTGAACGCGAGGAATGTTAAACCGACCGAAATTTATCGTCAAGTGACAGAAGTTTACGGTGAATACGCGATAAGTGATGGAATGGTGAGAAAGTGGGTAAGAATGTTTAATGCAGGTCGAACAAATGTCCACGCCGAGGCTCGGAGTGGTCGGCCTTCTGTTGTCACCGATGATTTGGTAAGGAAGTTGATGAAGCAATTCATGAGAACAGACGCTTCACAATGACAACTCTTTCAGAGGCATTTCCACAAATTTCACGTACTGCTTTGTTCGAAATTGTGTCCGACCGCTTTAATTATCGCAAACTGTGTTCTCGATGGGTTCCAAAAATGCTCACTGATGTTCACAAAACAAAGCGACTTGGTAGTGCCCTGACATTTCTCACGCGGTATAGTGATGAGGGAGAAAACTTTTTAAACCAAATTGTGACAGGTGATGAAACTTGGGTGTGTCATTTCATACCAGAATCGAAACAACAATCGATGGAGTGAAGACACACTCATTCTCCGAAAAAACAAAAGTTCAAAGTGACAATGTCATCGCAAAAAATCATGTGCACCGTCTTCTGGGATAGGAAAGGCGTTTTGCTTACTGAATTTCTTCCCAGAGGTGAAACCATTAATGCGGCACGATATGAGACTTTAACAAAACTAAGGCGTCCCATTCAAAACAAACGAAGAGGAATGCTCAGTGAAGGAATTGTGTTGCTCCATGACAATGCTCGGCCCCATACTGCTGGTGTCACCCAATCGTTAATTCGTCAGTTTCATTGGGAGCAGTTCGATCACCCGCCGTACAGCCCGGACTTGGCGCCATCCGACTATCACTTGTTCCTGCACATGGAAGTGCGAGCTTGGTGGCAAGCGCTTTGGATCTGACGATGACACGAAAAATGCTGTGGAGTCGTGGTTATCGAAACTGGCGGGAAGTTTCTTTGACGATGGTATACAAAAACCGGTCACCCGCTATGACAAGTGTTTGATCATTGGCGGAAACTATGTTGAAAAATAGTTTAAGACATTTATTTTCATGTAAAAATAAAATTGTATTCGAAAAAATTGTTTTACTATTTTTTTTTTTTTTTTTTTTTTTTTTTTTTTTTCAAAACGGTGCTTAGTTTCCGAATACGCCTCGTTCGTACATACTGAGATTTCCTGTGTATAATTTATAAATATAATATTTTATCGATCATCTTTTTTTTAAAAAAACTGCTTGTTCTGAAAAAAAAAAATATTCAAAATATTTTTGGCAAATAAAATAATTTATTCGAAAAATTCTGAAAATGAACTGAAAAAGGTATTCCGACACTTTGAATAAACAATTTATTCAAAGATATATATCAAGGATTTTTGAGATATTTTGAATACTTTTACACTTTTAAATAATGGATATTTAAATTTCTAACAGAATTTGTTGTTAATTGCAGTGTCATGCCATGCCTTCAGATATGCAAACGTTAATGTATTTTGTTAAATAATTAATAATTTCCAAACGCAGATGTTAATTCTTGTGACTTATTTTCACTTAAAACATAAAAATTGTGACAAGAAACATTGCATGCCAAAACCTCTCAACAAGACTTTCCATATTCGAATTATTATGTGAGTTGCTTATTAACACTTTTTGAATAAATTCTTTTATTACGAGGAATATTTTGGTAATATTTTTTTATTTGTAACAAGCAAGGCTTAGACAAAAAAAAAAAAAAAAAGTATCAGAAAAATATTTGATGTCTCTATTTCCATATTTGATATAAGATCTATGCAAACATATTTCAACAGAACAAGTGTCCGAAAACAAATGTGAGCCACTGTACATTTTTATCATAGAGAATTCTTTTGTTACTTTTTACTACAGTCTGTTTTACAAAACTTTACTTGATGACGATTTGAATCCTATATGTGCAATTAATCACATACTGTCTGTTTAGTTAAACTGAAATCTTTTTTTTAATAGACTTTTCCCAGTGTTCTCAAACTATTTCCCAGTGTTCTCAAACTCTAGAAAATCGTATGGAACACGAGTTCCCATAATATAGCACCTGCTCTACATTTTTTGTACTAGTTTATATTCTTCATTCATTTTCTAATGCTTTCTCACACCATGAGAGAAATTTCAACGAACACCTCGTTCAGCAGCCCTCCAGATCTTGCGTCTCCCCCCAAAAAAGAAAGTTCAACCCCTTTTTTCTAGACTATCTTAAGATGCGAGAGAAACCCTTGCCCCAGATTGCTCAACCCTTTGTATCCTTAGAACCGTTTACCGCTTGACCTATTTAAAACCAGGATGGAAAAAGAAACTCGAGAATATCCACGAATAAAAATAGAACCCTCTCCTGTGTGTCGCTTTCTTCTGACATTTAAACGATGATATAAAATGTAAACCCTTAGCTATAATTTTAAGTGTTAATACTCTTATTTTCCAGAATTTATTTCTAGCATACCATTATTGTTATTGCGATTATTATAATTATTTTTCCAGCAGCGTTAGGCAAATTAAATAATCTTGAAGTTCTTGGGAAAATTGATCAATGAAGAAAGAAAGAAAAGCATGCTTGAAGACATACTAATCAGGATTGGCAATTAATCAGTATTTATTGCTAGAGGCAAATCCGACAATGCTATAAGTTCTGGAAATCTAGGCAATAATGGCAAATTCCAGAAACAGGATTTTTCAGTTTTAGCTGTTGTTAAAAATTCACTTAGCTTCGTAGATTTTCTTGGCATTTTCTGTTTAAGTTATTTTCTTAAATGATATTTCTATGTATAATCATGTCCAAAAAACTATTATTATTATGAATCCAAAAGAAAACCCTTTCAACTTTATAAAATCTTCACTGTCTACAATTTTTGCCAATAACAATAAGAAAATAAATTCCAGATTCTGTGCTATACCAGAGAACTTTACCTCTGTAGTTTCTTTTGTCGGGGAAAAAAAAAAAAAAAAGGCAAGGATTAAAGCAACTTGAATCTTCTTGAAGGTGTTTATTAGAATTGTAGCGGTAGTACGATTTTCAAATAAATGTTTTAAGAACTAACGCTTAACTTGAGAAATGATGCTGAACTGTTTATCTGACGATATTTGCAGAATTATATTATTTATTTATTTCAGAGAAGCATGATAGTCATGACCATGACTTAGAGCTTTTACGTTTTTTGTTATGATAATGTTATGAGAAACAATATTTAAATTAATATTTAAATAATTTTAATAATAATTTAAATAATTTAAACACTATTTAAATAATTAATATTTAAATCAGTTTAAATACTTTTTAGCTTTTTACTACTACTTTTAGGCTGCAAATCAAAATTCTATGACTTCAAAAAACAAATTTCTATGACAAAACTGTATTGTAAATTAAACTTTGGATATTACTCTGGTATTTTTAGATCATAAATAAATCAAATGTGCCTATCCTGTTTTACTCAATGAAATATTATGTAAATCGTTGTGATCAGGTCCCGATTTACTCAGTATGGACTACTGGACACAGTATTCGTTTAATGGACCGTCAAAGCAGCAAAATACACTGGTTATCATTAATTAAGGAAAAATCGCAAAAATGACGATTACTCAAAAAGTTAAGTGTAGAATTTAATGAACTGATCCACAGTATACAACACATAGTAAAGCATAAAATAACTTGAAAAGAAATTGCCAGACAAAATTATGGTATTATAGAAATTAGCATATGTTTAAAAATGAGCAAATCAGATATTTCAGTTTGGTATAGAAAAAATACCGTCAATATGGAGTATTATCTTCCCTAGGATCAATACATCACATGCAGAGATCTGTGATGCTGTCATTTATGCAGTCTATCAATTCCGTAGGAAGTGAGAGCCATTGTTCTTGCAGAGCAGTTGCAAACGTGGCAAGGGTCTGTATAGGAGAATTGAGAGCAGCTATAAGGTCTTCCTAAAGCATCCCAGACATGCTCGATAGGATTCAGCTCCGCTGATCGAGCTGGTCTTTCCATACGCTGAATTGTTTGCTGCTGAAGATAATCATCCACGATGCGAGTCGTCTAGAGTTGTCGTCCAATAGCAGGAAATCATCACATATTGCCCCGGCATAAGGGCGTACATAAGCATCAAGAAAGTCATCTCTTAGACCAAGCATTCACGGTTCTACGTGGAAAGACATGGAGGTCTGTGCATCCAGCCAAAGAGATACCACCCCAAACACAGACATTGCCTCCTCCGTATGCATCTCTTTCACGGATGTTTGATGGATAATGATAACAGGTTCCAGCTTCTCTCCAAATCAAATAATGTCTACTGTCGCTTAAATAATCAAATAATGTCTACTGGAGGCCAAACCTCATCTATAAAGAGAACAGCTATTCATTAATCAGCCGTCTAGCGGACATGTTAATGTGCCCACCTCAAAAGTCCTTTCTATGACGTGACGTGAGTAGCAATACAAATGGCCGGTTGCATCGCATACAGACTTCCTACATGAAGCCTTCTACGCACGGTTGACGTTGATACCAACCTTTCGGTGGCTACTTGAAAGGAGAATCTGAGTTAAGTCGGAGTTGCGGTTCTATCCCTTCGTGCTTATAACAACAAATGTCTCTCATCGGCGCTCGTCGTAGCGGTTGGCCATCCTTGGCTGAAACTCCTGGATGCCGAATATGTTGTTAGAAATT